TCCGAATTGAAAGACCGGTTAAAGTTCAAGGTAAAAACATAATCCCTCTTTGATTGAATAAAAATACTGGGAAACCCTCTACATCAATAATATTTTAAAAAAAAAAATAAATTAACAGTAAGAGAACACGCTAAGGAAAAAAAAAGGAAAAAAATACGGAGGATGGGGATGCCACGAAAATTTTGCTTAAAAAAATTTTTGTTTCAAAAACAAATTCAAAATTATCAAATAAATACATTCAAAAGAATTGTATGAAAAAAATTGCTGTAATTGTTTTAAAATTTCTAAAATTATTCCGATGAAATGATTGAATGAAATCCCACTCGAACCTGTATTGCAATATGTTAAGAAATTAAATACAGCTATTGTAGACTTTTCCCAAAAGCATTATACCCAATGTCGGTGGAATTAACAATATTGCATCGACAGTGATATTATGAATAAGAATATTTATGAACTAAAAGAAAAAATTATATAGATTACAGTAAGCGAAAAGACGTACGAATTTCTGGCTAATGTCAGATATATGCTTACTCGAGAATACATTACTATAGATAGAGCAAAAAGTATAAATGACAATTGGTTATGGGTGTAATTTCCAAAAGTTATGAAAATGTGCGTGAAATATATTTCACTGACTATTGAATTCATAGTATGAAATATATAAGTCACGTTCTGCGTTGAAATCTTAAAATCTGATACATGTATCAAGATACCCCGCATATCTCTATCGACATTAATTTCTTTAAGTTTCGTTGAAATCGAGATAAAACTTTACTAGTAAATCATAATCCTACATGTAACATGACTCTACGGAAAGGAATTAATAAACAAACACAAATATTTCTACTTTTAAAGAAAATATTGGCCATTACAGTCCACGCAAGTAGCAACCGGGGTGGGGGGGGGGGGTTACATTGAAAGTCCGCCCCCCCTCCACACACACACACATACACACTTTTTGTTGCGGCAAAGTCAAATTCGTGCACTACAAAAGAATAAGGCAGTGTGTTATGTTTGAATTAAAAAATTTGATACTGAAAGTAGATTGAACCAATCCCCCCCCCCCCCCCCCCCCCAACGGCGAAATTGGATTCGAGTTTCGACAACCCCCCTCCCCTTTTTTTGGTTGAGTAGTTTTTTTTAAGGTAGATTTATTTTTTTTCTGGCTGCCCCCCCCCTTTTTTTCAAATGAGTTGTTTGGGGACAGGCAAAGATACGAGTCAAATGTGTGTTTTTTTTTATATGTTTGGTATGTTTTGAAGTAATAACTAGGAAAACAATGGTTTGCATAAATATTTTAAGCGAAAGAGAGTCAAATTAGAGCGGTATATTATTACTTAATTATAAAGCATTGCCTCATACAAAAAGCATGAACGTGTGCTGGACGTAATATTTCATTAATGGATATGCCATTGTTATTTCATTAATGGATAAGCCATTGTTACGGAGGAAAATGAATAGATGACCTTTCTTGGACGCGTGAAAGATTTTGTTTTGCTTGTCAAGGAATATTTGGTGGTTGAAAGTGCTCAAAACTGAAAAAAATATAGCTACCCCACCCCCCACCCCCCTGCACACACACCTAATATGGCTTCCTACGGGCCTGTCGTTCTTGCGTAAAAATATACTAGTATTTATTCAGTTTCAGTTTCAAATAGATTTCTTCAAAATTTTAATGGAACTGTAATTTCGCACAGAGAAGTTTAGCTGCAGATCTGTAGCGTTATTGTTTTACATATTGTCAAAGACAAATATGTAAAAACATAACGTTACAGATCTGCAGCTAAGAAAAGTCAAGCACGGCGTTTAGTGTACATATATAAGAAAGAGACAAGAACAGCACAATTCACCATCCCTTTTGATTATATCATACAATATACATAAATCATTTTTTTTCAGATCATAGTAGCGGCCCTTGGAAAAAATATACAAATGTTGTCTTCAAGTTAAACAGGGTACAGGTGCCACAAAATTTAAAAAAAAAAGTTAAGGTGCAGAAATATTTGTAACCGATTTTAATTGTGGTATACTTTTAAAAAAGTAAGAAGTATAAAGACGGTTTCAATTTGAGGTATAAATTCAAAGAAAGTTTCAACTTAATTAACAAGGTATATAAACCATTCATAAGAGAATCCTTTTCTAGTATTTGCCTATTTACTATGTTTCTTAAGGAATCACTGTCTAGTTTTGAGGGTATGCCAGGGCATCAACAATAGTGGGAAACATGGGATAATTTGCATAACGGGCAAATTAGGTTGTCGGAAGCACGAATATGTATAGGCACTATGTCACTTCTCCGCCGCCATATTGAATGCAATGTTGCAGTTGATGAAACGGAAGTTGGTCAGCATGGTCAGAAAACCGATTTGTATGGATGTTAATATAACAGAAGAAGTTGAGTTGCTTAAGAAGCCGAATGGTAATGACTGAGGGACGATGTCTGTAACAGATGATGGAGTACGTGCAGATCCATGTGGCAATGTCAATTTCTCCACGTGGCTGTTACGGAAGTGGAGTTCTCGGACTCCCGAGGCCTCGGTGATAGTGAACAGCGTTGCGCTAGTGACTTGCTTTCGAGCCGAAGATAATTCATTATTTATTTTGTTTGTTAAAAACATATATCATATCAAATTACTTTGTAAACAATTAAACAAAACATCTTATTTTTTCTCAGTCTGACTAAAGCCAGCCCCTACTATATCACTTCGTTAGTAGGGTCTGAAGAACTCTCATAAGGGTCAATCTCTGAGTGAACTTTGAGTCTGCATATTCATAAGAAAATATTGACCAATCAGATAACACGTATTAGAAAACGGTCGGTATTAGAAGGAAAATGGCGGATTATCAACGTGCTTTCCATGTCGTCTTGAAAGAAACAAAAATAAACAGTCTTAAAGAAAAACAAGTCGAAATATTGGAGACTATTCTGAATAATAACAATTGCCTCGCTATTTTACCTACCGGGTATGGAAAATCTCTCCCATATCAACTTTATTTACCAGTAATTCGGGCTCTTGGTGATGATTGGAGTAAAAAGAAGAACAGCAAAGTCATAGTTTGTTGCCCATTAACGTCCATAATGGAGGACCAAGTGAAGAAATTGAAACAAACAACACTTGTTTCTGCAGAATATTTAGGTATGTTTTTAATTAATCAAATAAAAGTACTTAGCAGGGTTTGACACTAACTTTACAAGACTGAAAATGTGATTTCATTTAATAGTTTTATTTTCTCAATTCGACCAATGACCCAAGATAACCTACATTTTACTATTTATGTACATGTAACTGCATGCAGTGACGGATCCGGGGGGGGGGAGCGCTCCCCCCAAAACCTGATTTAATAAATCTTATGTATTGACATAAAAAGTCCCCTCTAAATCCGCCTGTGCCAATGGCATGGAACAGTCATTTACTAGACTGGGTTGGTCGGACATATCTTAGTGTCAAAGTACAGTTTACAAGTGAAGGTTTTTTTTGTTTGTCTGTTTGCATTTGATTTGATGTCATGTGCAACAGTTTAGGATCCATTGCCAAAATGGGTTATGACAGCCCATTTGGGATCTAATATTCCTAATGGGGTGTAAATTTAAATTGTTAAATAAATGATTTTTTTTTTCCAAAAAAGAAGGTAAATCTGCATTGAATTTTGTCTAAATGGATATATATTTTTTGAAGATTTAACAAGAATTACAAATCACCTTACACTCACAGAATATTATTCATTTTCTAGGATCATTAACTTAATTACCTCAATGAATTTTAGCACTACAGGTAGGCATATTAAATCCTTTCAATAAATATTTTATTAGGTAGTTCTCCTGAAGCTGATTCTGCTATATCAAATGGTGATGTGGATCTTATTTATGGGTCACCAGAGTTGCTCGTTGGAAATGTGCAAAGGAGGGAAATCATTCAGAAACTGGATGTCAGTCTTATTGTTATTGATGAATTCCATACTATTGCCACATGGTATGTTTTTTATGAAGTGTGATTATGTGTAAAATAAAGATGAATTTAAAGACTGTGTGGTATCAATCATATTTTAGAAGAAAATTAAATACATTTTTTGAAAAACTTGCACTACGAAAAAGATTGTTTAATATTATATTACATTTAACAATAAGGACAGATTATACGAACAAATTTTTGTCAAAGAATTTGAAAATAACAACTTGTTTCATGTTTAAATGAATAAATTGGATACCTTTCACCGCATAGTTTTTAATTTTTTATTAAAGGACAAGTGCACTTGAGCAATACTTAATGGGCCCTTTTTAAGTGTGAAAATGTGATCAGAAAAGCTCACTTGGGCCTTTGGCTCAGGTGAGCTAAAAATATAATTATTCCAATCCAGGCATCCATTTTTTGTTTGTATCATCTGTCCTTAAATGTGCCTATGTAAATAAACGACAAAGAAACTTAAAATATATTACAAAGAGAGAATTGGATTATTTTCAGGGGAGGAATGGGAAATGAAGAGGAAGCTTTTCGGAAATGGTTTCGGCACTTAGGAGAATTGCGCTCCATGTTTCCAAATGCTGTATTATTAGCATTAAGTGCTACCTGCACAAAAATTATTGAAAAAAGAGTGCTTAATGTATTGGGTATTGATAAAAAAACTATAAAATCTATTAGACTGTCACCAAATAAGGAAAATATTAAATTCATTGTCAACAAGATTCCAAATTCTATGGAATCCGCTATGTTTTGGGTTATGGAAGCTTTACTAACGAAGTGATATAGTAGGGGCTGGCTTTAGTCAGACTGATTTTTTCTTTAGTGATATACATGCAGGTTGACACCTGACCTTTCAGTAATAGAGAAATATACATACCACAGGGTATTACCATGAAATTAACAAGATTCACTTTTGTAGTGTTTATCATAGAGAAAACAATTGGAAATAATTTAATTTTGCTTGTATTCTTGCCTCTCATTGGTTGATTTCCAAAAAGGAACGCATAACATTTTGTATAATCTGGTTTGGTATGGGGACACACCCCCCTGACAACCAGCATAATCATCTGTATCCATCAATTCCCTCATTTTCAGTCCTTGGGATTCATGGAAAATTCCAGATTTAATGAATGTACCTTTAACTTCAAACAGTTACTCGATCTTACCTCATGTAAACAAGCATCATGGCTGCTAGATCTATGAATCAGTTTTTACCTCCCCTCGCTTCCCATCACTTCCGTTACTACGGTTGTATTATTGCGCGGTAAATTTGAACTCATAAAAACAACACAATTTTACATCCCCAGTTGAATAATTATTTTAAAATTAAATTATAAGGAATGACTCTAATTCTTGGCCAAATTATCGAGTATAATATGGTTTGGGTCAGTTTACGCTTTTTTATAATCCGCTTCGCGGATTATAAAGCGTAAACTGACCCAAACCATATTATACTCGATAATTTGGCCAAGAATTAGAGTCATTCCTTAAATGGAAATATTACTCTATAACTAAGACAGGCGAAAAAATGGAATCTTAGAGCTTTAAAAATTTTAAATAAAATATTCAAAGAGTAAAAGTTTTAAAATCCGCTTGCATTGAAGTAGCGAACGTATAGTATACTTTTTTTAATTCATGAATTTTTATAAACGAAATAAACGTTTTTAAAAACAAATTTACATATCTTGGAGTATCTGAATTTATTTTCCAATTGAATTTTTCGATGATACAGAAAATACATGGTGTTTTTCATCCTTTCGTAACAGTTATAGGGAATAAAGTTACGTGCGTGAGTGTTGGTGAGTGAATGCTGACTCATACGATTTTTTTATATCAAAATCGATGTGCTTTTTGCGAGGGGGTGCCCCGTTTTGCGCGGGGTGCCATTCTGCATGGGATTCTCTCTCTCTCTCTCTGTATACATGTATATTTCCTTTAATCTAAAAGTGTCCGAGTGCTTTATATATTTTATCAATTGAATTAGATTATTTTATATAAGAAGAATAATTTGTATGGATTAAACAAATACTATTTTCCTACTGATTATGTTTCATGTATAAACTATTCCTGGATTCTGTCTAGACCCCCCCCCCTTTTTTTTTACGAAATAACTAGATCTGCTCTAAAATAGTAATAAACTAGTAATAATATACGAAATATCTTTAGTTAGGAATAATTACATACTAGTCGCTTGGAAGAAAAAAAATTAAATAATTTCTCAAGTTTTTAATTCTCAAAATGATTGAGGTTATTTAAATAACGTGATTTTAAGAATTTCTGAAAAATGAATTAGACACAGGCGACGTCATTACGTTTTCAGTGAGTAACGTAAAAGTTGTTTTTTTGGAGCGCCTCACTAAAATGCTCATAAAATACTGAAAAAGTGAGATATTTTCAAAATTTATGTATATTTGCATTCAGAAAAAGTCCGGCTATCAAAATTCACCAAAATGTCATTTTATGAAAATTTGACCTTAAGGGCCCTTTTCTCGTGACGGCAGTCATTTGTGTATTCTCACTGCAGAAAATTCCTATGATTCAGAAAGAATGAATTTTGATTTCTTATATCACTTTCATATTTTAGAAAAATATAGGGCTTAATTTGTATTGAAACTGTATCTTCTTCTTTCGTATTGCGATATATTGCGAAATTTTTAACTGTATTGCACTATGTAATGCAATATTTTCAATGAAAAATACCATGGCATTCTCTTATTATTTTAACTTAATTTACATTCAGAATGTACATAACTATGAAAAGTAACCAAAAGGAAAAACAATATTGTTGATTTTATTAAAGTTATGCTCTGAAATACATCCATAAACAGCTTCTGTCTTACTATTTGGCTAAATTACTAACCTTTCTTACATTAATTTTTTTTCTATTTGATGATAAAACCCCTTAGTCTAAGCATTTTGCCGATATATCGATATTACAAAAACGTATTGCAATACGATATTTTTTGTCACTGTCATCGAAATATCGATATTTTTGCCCAGCCCTAATATTTTCAACAGTAATATTGTGTTCAAAGGAGATAAATAGACAAGCATGCACCCTTGGTTTAAAAGAAACACAAGAGTCCAATGGGCTTTATAGGTCATCTGAGCATCATGCAACAACTTTCTAACAAATGAATTTGGTTCATGTTTTTAACCAGAGGCCATGACATTCGCAATTTTGAAAGCGACACCATTGCTCATCATAACTGTACACTTAGCATGCTTAGTTTGGTTACTTAACACCCAGAGGCAGAGTAGAGGAACATGAAAATGCATTTTAACTAATTAGTAATATAAAGCAATAATTGTGAATTATATGGACCCAGGGTCAAGGTTCTGGTGTTAGGGTGGGGATCTATTGATTATATAGTGAAAATGCATTAATTCCTTGAAAATCCTCTTCTCTGCTACTGGGTATTAAAAAAACTAAATACATACATAGTTAGGACGAGGAAGGGTACTTCCTCGAAAGTTAAAGTGGCCCAAGGGTAAGGGGTTCTGATGTAAGGGCGGGGCTATATACATTATATAGTGAAAATGCGTTAACTCTTTAAAAACATTCTCTTCTCCTAGGTACTAGTATTGAGCTGATGAACTACCTATATATCTATGATGATCAGTGGTTCTTGCAGAATTGTGAATTTCAGGCCCATGGGTCAGGGGTACAGTAGGGGGTTCTGTTGTCAAGGTGAGGCTCTAATGATATACTGAAAATGAATTAATTTGAAATATGCTGTGTACTTGGTATTGATCAAACATTTAATCATGAGGGAGGGTGCCTTTTTATAATCATGCCAACAGTTTTACTGCTTGATGTCCAGAGTAAAGAAGAAGATTGTTAAAGATTGCATTAATTTTGGTGATTTTAGCCCAACCCCTCATGCCCCAGGGAGGCAGGGGTCCTGAATTGCACAATTTTTGTTCCCCTCAACCGGTATCTGCTATATGCCAAAAGTGGTTGAAATTGGTTCAGCGGTTCCAGAAAAGAAGCTGAAAATATCAAGAACTTGCGTCCGAAAGACGACGTACGACGACGGAGAAAACAGATAGGTCACCTGAGTGACAAAAAAAAAGTTCGCCCGAGGGCGCATGATTAGAGCGTCTGCTCTAGATTCGCAGAGTAAGGAGTTGATCCTTTCATTGCAGGTCCTGATCCATTGCGGAACTTGGAGACCGGTCCTACGGATGAGAGTCGATAAACAGTCTTTAAGTCCGTGACAAGAGAAAAGGGGGGGGGGTCTCAATAAGTGAAGGCGACCGGCGATATCGCCGTCTATTTACAGAATGGCGCCTGTTATTTTACTTTCAAAAATCAGTGTGGTTATGTAAAGAAAATCAGTACTTCAGAAGAGGTTTTCGATTATTCCGTTTGTCTTGTTAAAAGTAGTGAATGAAAAACGTAAAAATAAAAATCGTTGTTATTTGACGCTTTTCTTGTCAGATTACGATCCCCTTTTATAAAAACGTGGTGAAGATTCAGGAATCCGGAATTGCAATCGATCTGGTTTAAGTTTTACTAAGCCTTTTTCATTCTGGCTGCAGCATGGGCGATGGCTGCAGCCGAGAGAAATGCAGGCGTATCGACTCCTTTTTCCGCCCCAAAACCAAACGGTATGTATAAAATAAATCATAGTTCAAAAAATTGAAATAAAAAAAAACAACACATGTTTAATAGATTTAAACAATTTCTTCAATGACTAAATCGCTGTAATACAGAGAAAATAAAAAAAAAATCAAATACGACTTTGTCCTGTTTTATATCAGTTTACTTCAAATTTTCAGCAAAGTTAAGTAATACGGTAAGTTTTATGTAAAAAAAGTTTTCAAATGCTTTTGGTAGACATGCCATGTATATATTTTAATACGCTCATTTATAATAACCACTAACAAGTCACTGTCTCAAACTTTATATTGACACACTTCTAGCTTCTTGTGTAATGTACATACACTGCACACGTAAAATCCAAACGCAGCTTCTAGTGGTGTTTCTGTATATTGTAGAATATAAAACTTGGTTTTTAAATGGCCAACTTATTTTTTTTCAACTCTTTTGATTTATGCATGTATACTAATCAAATAATCATTTGTAGTAGGAAAATATTTTTGACAGGTTTATTAGATACTATATTCAATTTTAGCTGTTAGATAATATCTTATATACGGTACCTAAATAAAATTGATTTAGAAAAAAAATTTTTAAATTGATACGACTGGTAAGGTTTACTCACATTTTAATTCTGCTTCTCTCTTGTATTTGGCTAGGACTTATTTAAATTCAAGCAATTAATTAGCTGTATCATTTTATCAGTGAAGCATATAATAAAACAATTACTGCTGTTTTTTTCGAAGTACAATTATTGCTGTTTTTTCGAAGTACAATATTCACCTCGCCCGTCGGGCTCGGTGAATATTGTACTCCTCAGATGGCTAAATCATTGTATTGACCTCAAAAAACAGCAATAATTGTATAATATACGGTACCTAAATAAAATTTTTGGACCCAATCATATGGTTTATTTTTCAGCTGTATGTAGCTGTATGTAGCAACAATAATGATGACAAAGTCGGCGATAATACAAATGAATGTCAAAATTTGTGGAACAAACTGTGTTTGTCTCTCTGAGAAAGAACAAAGGAGACTGTTGGAAAAAGAACAGAACAAATGAAAGAAAAAGTGAGTAAGCTCACATACCCCACGCTCCCCGAAAAAATCAAAGCGCTGAAAATCCCGGAAAAAATGAAAAAATTGAAATTTCCCGGTAATATGCACATCTACAA